CCTCATGTTCAGATGGAATCTCCTCTCTTGTAGTTTGAAGCCATTGTTCCGCGTCCTAGTCTCCAAGGAAGCAGAAAACAAGCTTGCTCCCTCCTCCCTGTGGCTTCCTCTCACATATTTATACATGGCTATCATGCTCCTCTCAGCCTTCTCTTCTTCAGGCTAAACATGCCCAGCTCCTTAAGCCGCTCCTCATAGGACTTGTTCTCCAGACCCTGATCATTTTAGTCGCCCTCCTCTGGACACATTCCAGCTTGTCAATATCTCTCTTGAATTGTGGTGCCCAGAATTGGACACAATATTCCAGGTGTGGTCTAACCAAGGCGGAATAGAGCATGGGGAGCATGACTTCCCTAGATCTAGACACTATGCTCCTCTGATGCAGGCCAAAATCCCATTGGCTTTTTTTGCCGCCACATCACATTCCTGGCTCATGTTTAACTTGTTGTCCACGAGGACTCCAAGATCTTTTTCACACGTACTGCTCTCGAGCCAGGCATCGTCCCCCATTCTGTCTCTTTGCATTTTGTTTTTTCTGCCAAAGTGGAGTATCTTGCATTTGTCCCCGTTGAGAGCACTATACATCGATAGCCAGGTTGGGAGTGCTTTTTCTGCCCTTTGAGCGGCTCCCACGACACTCCAGAGTTTATTGGGGTCCCCAGAGGCAGCCAACTCCCCTGTATTTTGTGACCCTTCCACCCCTTCTGCCACCCCCTCCCCCAGTTGATATTCACTCTGCTTCTGGCCGCAGACGGACATCATTGACCACCGCTTTGCTGTGGAGTGGATGCAGGACTTTGAGGCCTTCCAAGAGGCCCTCAGCCAGGAGGCCTCCTACGCCAGCAACCTGACGCGCTCCATGAGCCTCGTCCTGGACGAGTTCTACGGCTCCCTCAAGGTGGGAACAATACATTTAGGAAAGTCGGGAAAAGGGAGGGATAGATGGGTAATGGGTGTAACATAAAGAAGAAAGAAAGAAAAAGGCGAAAGAGTGAGAGGTACTTCCAGGTCTTCCCAAATTGAAAGACCTTCTCACTTCACTATGCTTTGATTGTCTTTGTCTTCAGTTTCTTATTGATAGTTCCTTTGAGCTTCTTTTATAA